GACAGACCAGGTAAGAAAGTTCAGCGTATCTAGAATCATACAGAGAGAAGTCACCTCAAATCAGAACCAAGAAACTTTTGGTTAAGTTTTTTTTTTTTAAGCTGAAAATCTTGAGGGTATGACGGGGTAGCGCTTCCTTCTGGACACAGCCTGTTCACTGCAACGGGGCGAGAAACCTCGGTTTATGTGCTGCCACCACACAGAAGTCTCACTTGAGATGCAAAGATTTCAGAAAGAAAATCTTGGTTTTACTTTAATCGTCCAAAGAAAACAAGCATTCCTATTCAATTTAAATATTCTATAAAGACTATAAAAATATGCTTTTTTAATTTGAGCGAAAAAACCTAAAATAGCCCCTTTTGTCTTTGGTCATCAGTTGAGGAACTGAGAGAGACATGGGGTTTGGCGTGTCAAACCTTCTTCCTTTTCCTCCATGTTATTTTTATAACACGTATTTTTATTTGATGTACACCAGCATTCAACTTTCCAGATTTACCTGAGCGTTGACAATCAAGCCCCAAAGCGTCATTTGCGCCAGCAATAAGATGACGAGACAAGCAAAGCGTACGAATCCAGCAGCGCATCTTGCCACAAGCACTTCAGCCAGCCTGCACGACTGCTTTTGTAAATGAAGATCACGGTGCCATCTACACGTAAGAAAATACCCCTTTTCATAGCTTCATTTCAAAAGAAACTTCAGATAAAGTTCAGAAACTGGAATTTTTCTGAGGCGTTGCTTACAACGGTACCCCAAAAAATCCCAAATCCCTGCCCTTTATTCTTCAGTGCATCCATTCCAAGATACCTGGGAGTAATTTACGGCTCTTCGGAAATAAAAACAAATCGGTACTGCCAGTGTTACGCTTTTTTCAGGAATTGGCACTAAAAATCTGTAATCCAGCTGGTATTTTCTAACCTAGCTTAATTCCTGACGTAAAAGAAGTCATACAGAGATTCAGACAGACATATATCATCTCCTCTACGTGTTCACAAATAGCTGATTTCATCTGCCTGGGTGTAGAACAGAACTTGAACTTCAGACTCAACAGAACCTAGAATGATTCCAGCAGCAAAAAAAAAAAGAGAGAACTAAAATTCATTTGCAGATCACCTCAGTTTCAGTCCTACAGGGCATAATGCACTTTCCTGCCTTCTCCACGGTACGTAAAGATATGCTGACTCTCACTAGTATAGCAATTTATAGAGCAAGAAAAGGAACTGCAAATTTTGTTACGCTTGAACCAAGTTGCACCACTTTTACTAAATGGCCTTTGAAGGAAGGTATGCAAGGGGACGCACGCGCTTGCAGGACTGGGATGAGGGCACTGAAGTTCTTTGTGGCTTTTTGAGAATTACAACCAGGAAAACATTAACAATCTAAGCACACCTCCTCCAGTAAGATAGTCTTTACATTCAAAATTTCATAGATAATATGATATATATAATATAAATATGGAAAAAGTTATTTAAATTACCTCAACAAATCAATTCTTAAGTCACTGAAACTGTCGACACCCTTGTGATTTTTTTTTTTAATATCTCGCTGTATTAGGACCTCACACCTACCATCCTCAGTATTTAGAAAAACCTCAAGTTTCCTCTACAAGCTTAATTAGAAGGGCAACAGAGCTTGCTGGCGTGCATTGCTGAAATAATTACGTAGAAACTATTTGCTCTTCCACAATATCACCTCTATACCGAGCTTTGAGAAACCACTTTAGGATGGCACATTAATTCTCCCCTGAAAAAAAACCCCAAAATTTGGCTTAACATTCTGTTTCTGAAGAGGCTGTGAAAAGCCAGACCATGGCACCAGCCAGCCTCCTAGTCGGTTTTGAGCAGCTGTCTTTAATAAGGCGTAACATTATTTTCGATAACTAAGCATTACCAGACCAGAGCAGCTTTGCCTCGAATTCTCCTTGCTGAGCAACTTATTTTAAAACTTTCTGCATCGAGTCATTCAACCTATTAAAAAAAAAAAAAATTTCCTTTTCCATCCTGCAGACAGGATTAGCCATTCTACCTGCCGTCCCTAAGGCCCAGGCTCTCCCTCTTGCTGGAGAGCAAGGCTGGGTTTGCGAGGCTGGCTCAGCCCGGACGGTGCCGACCGCTTCCAGGCGCAAGTCGGGAACCCTCCGGCTGAGCCAGGAGAGCCGCTGGAGGGTAGCTCTGGACGCGCAGGCAGCACAACACGGGCCCTTTGAAAGGTGGGGGGAAAAAGAAAGATACTGGAGAAGCCTTCAGAGGAGCCCCGGAGGGGAAAACAAAGCACAGCCCTAAGCCACCTGAAGCTCCGGTTATCTTTAAGCCGAGCGAATCGGCTGTTCCCACCCAGCGCCTGCCCTCTTACCAAGGTGTGCCGCTTCATGTGCTCCCGACGGGTGAACTTCTTCCCACAGATCTCACAGGGATAGGGTCTTTCTCCCGTGTGGGATCGCATGTGTCTCTTCAGGATGCACTGGTGCATGGCTGAAAAACTGCAGTACGGGCACTTGAATTTCTTCCTGATGACCGTGAACTCGTTGACTGTAAGAGAGCAAGCAAAACACGCAGATTACTTTCAGAATGCCTCAAAACGGCCAGTCTTCTCGTTTACTACTTCACTGTTGAATTAGTTCACTGTGAAATCACACTCTCACCTCTGAACCACCTACGATTTTTTTTAATCCTTATATTATTGCACTCACGTTATTAAAGCTAAGAACTTCAAGCACCTTCATCAGAGCAGCTTTTGAACAAGCCAATACACAAACATTTAGCAACACTCTGCAACACACATTGCCTAACACTTGCTGAATGGCAAATAAAGAGGGCTGACGATCTGCTGTAATTCTGATTTATTATAATGAATTATCCTAAGTATCAAGATCTAAAATTCTAACACTATTAGTTGTGGGACGAGTAGCTAGCCGTGAACAGAGGACCACAAACGTTAACACCCCGACAGTGCCATGCGCTTTAGTTTTATTTATGGGGCGATGCAAGAACGTCATCGCACCCTCCAGGAGTATTTCAATGAAGGTGCAGAGACCAAGGATCGCCCAGAAGAAACAGGGCCATTACAGCAAACACACGCTACGTTATCCAGCTCAACTAGTATTGCCATTGCGGCACGGGTACAGAAATATGAAGGGACGCATATTGTTGAATTACAGCATGACGCTTGCAAGCCTCCTTACAAGACGACTGTATATAGCCCTTGATGGACTTTTTTCCTGTCCCCCCCGAATCGTCTTTTGCTGAACTAGAGAAGGGATGAATTCTTTGAAGTCGTTTTGACATCGTTGCTTCTTTTCTTCTTGTCATCTCCTTAGAAGCGCACTGAAAGCGGACTCAGGGGACGCGTACAGTATTGACAGCCCAAGGGTCTAATTTGCCAGGAGAATGCACACGGCAGCTGCGTCGGAATTTCCTCCTCCTAACAAAGTGAAAGCGCGCTATGCAAAATACAGCAGGTGAAAACAGAGTATTTGCTATTCCCTGAAGACATCCACCCGCTATAAGTTTGGAAGCGACTGTCCACATAGATATGATTTTAAATCTCCACCTTCTAATAATTCTACTGCTTTCCATTAGTATGTTAATTTTCACCCACTTTTCTCCTAATTATTGTTGTTTCTCAAAGCAATGTACTGTTTACATAACAACGAGGGAAAAAAAGAATGCAAGTTCTAGTTAATCACCGCAAGTACGATCGTGTGTGTAAATGGCTCTTGGTAAATGAAAACAGTCTATGTAGGAGAGCTAAGGGAATAAGGGAAATACCAGACCTACTATACGGCTTCTGACATACCGAGTACTTTGCAATATTTTTAGATGCTTATTGAAATGTTGTCTCCTACAAATGCCCCACTAGCTGAATGCACGCTGCGTGCTCTCAGTATACCACAGATAACGCCCTGGGAGTTACACCGTACGCTGAAACCCAGCTGCTTAAAAAAAAAAAAAGGCCTTTTTTAAGAAAGTCAGTAGGCCCATGTACTCGGTGGTGGTTATTTTAATGCCCAATTTGTGGGCTTTTTCTTCCTTTTGTTTTTTAAATTTTTCCCCATCTTGTAGTTGCAATATAGACAAAACGATGTGACCAGTAACTACATTTGTCGCTCGTGTAAAAGTGCAAACTGCATGATGCTATTAAGAGACATCTTGAAACAGGGGAACACCACCCTCCATAATCAGAACAAACGTTTCAACACAAGCTCATCTTGGAAAAGCACTCTAAGAAGTTTTTTTATTGTTCTAATGCAGACTAAAAGTATGGTTCAAGATCTTAAAAGTTGCCATGATGTGAATTTTGTCTTCGCATTTGTTTTGACTATTCGGGATTATAAACGTATTTTCCACGCAGGTAACTGTGGAAAAAATACTCCCTTTGATTAGCAGTTTGAACGGGATCTAATATTTTTATATTCTTTTCGCATGCTCCTAACTTGCTGCTTTGGGCTGCTCAGCAGCTGTGGTGGTCCATCCTACAGGTGCTTTGCTTTGGTGGGGTTTTTCCAGCACTTTTGTAAAGCTGCAAAGAGAATTTTCTAGCCCAGGGAAAAATAAAAAAAACCCAGAGCCTACTTGCCACTCACCTGGGCCACGGCTGCAACACTGACAACAGGGAAAGTGACGGCCAAGCCTATTTTATTCACCTGTCAGTAAAGATTACTCCCTGCATCAGGCAGAGTTTGGAAGGGCTGCTCTCAAGTGACTGCGCACACCTGCGCCTGCACGGCTTTGGGAAGCTCCTGGAGGAGACGCAGCCTTGCTCAAGCTCTTGTTGGTAACCCAACAACTCAGCTGGGCCGCGCAGCCCTTCTCCTGCCCCTGCCTAACTTCTGATTTACAGTAACTTTTTTTTTTTTTAATAGAAGAAATAGAATGTGAAAACTCTTTTTTATATTACAGAAAATGTATTTTTTGCTTTATTTTCTCCTTTGGATTTGACACCCCCTTCTCTATACAATCAGAGGCAAGGAGCCCACTTTATTCTTCAAGAAAGTCTTAAGCAAGTACCAATTTTACGCTATAAAGCTATTTACGATAACTATGTTTCCGGTTTGATCTTGTAACAGCTTGATTATTAGCGATAGGCCACGCCGACTCTTAGTTCCCAGGATCACTATAAACCTATCACTATGGAGCCTAGACAAGGCAAGCAAGCGATAAGCTGACCAAGGGCAGTCGAGAGGGGACACGCAACCCTCCTTCCTCCAGCACGAACCACCACAACCACGCTACCTGTGCAGACCACAGCTAGCAGGACGAGCTGCTCAGCAAGTCGAGTTTCACCACCTCACCCGAAAAAGTTGACTCACGGTAACCAGATGCCAAGATTACGAAGCGAAAGTGCTTTAGTGAAGAGAATACTGCAAAAATCCCTTATTTCCTACGTCGCCAGATTGTACCAGATCCCGGCACTTCCTAAATGACCAGATGCCTCCTCTCCTTTACTGTTCACTTCAGGGCTGAGCTACTGCAGAAGCTGAAAAGGCAACTCCAGCCCTCGGGTGCACAGCCCGCGCCGCTGGCACGCTGCTTTCACACACAGCCACCTCCACTTTCATGTTTCCAACGCATAAATGCCCTTCCAACAACATATTCGGAACACGCTCCGATTTCAAGATCCCTCGTGCTTACTTTTGCCTGTATTCAGCTTCGATCGCTCGAGAATACGATCTTCAGCTTCGAGCGTGCTTATATTCAAAAACAGTCACAGAACACTTTTTGCAGCTCTAGTTTTATTGAAAACTCTTTTTTTACCAAATAACCATATATTTAGTTCTTGTATCTACAAAAGTAAACACCCCCAAAAAATAACAACGCTGTTAGAAAAATAACTGTATTGCAGAGTTAACATTTTCACAGTACTGTTAAATATATGCACCCACAAGTACATATATTTAATGAACAACATACCAACTTTGGTATAGTCTTTTGTCTAAATGACAAGATTTTATAGCGCTTACGCATAGCAGCATTAAGGTCCTAAGGAATAATCTTTAACAACATCATCGAGACCATTAACAGTAGTGCCACAGATACCAGCTACTGGACACAACTATAGGAAGAACAGCACCAAGAAACGGAGACTGTAACACAAACAGTGCCATAGTAAAAATCCATGTACTTAACTTCACTAAAATATTTACAGAAGACGTGCATTTTTAAAACCAACACAATAACACTTGGAAAAAAGCCTTTGGTATTGTTGTCTCGAGTAACTTTACTTATTTCACTGAGGCTGTTGCATGCAGTAGGCTCCTACATCCCTGACTTGGGAGACGGAAAAGCACCAGCGACACCCTGCCTGACAGAGCTACCTTGTATTAACTCTGTAAACCGATACGCAGTTAATAATCACTGAAACACTACACGCATTTGGTTATTACGAAGAATTCACAAACTTTAAGAGAATTCTTGTCCGCCTAATCCTCCTTATATTTAAGGTTATAAACAGCAAGGTGCAATTTAAGTGTCAGACTTACACTTCCCATCAGCTTCCCATGCCATTTTCTAACACAAAAATCCTGCTTTTAAAAAGTTTTCTACACAAACTCTGTGAGCTTCTGCTCTGTTGCATCCTATGGTTCTAACATTTTAAAAAACCCACTGCTGATCCTGAAGGGAAACACTGGAAATTCTCAGTGCTGAAGCCAGGAAGCACTCTGATGTGCAGGCCAAGTAAAATACTACCTAAACCTCTGTTAGAGAGAATGAGTTGACCTGACTGTAGAAAAATAGTTCCACGTTGAATTAAGTTCTCAAATACGAGGAAAATGAACAAACGTGAAATGTCATTAACTATTATCATGTGAACGAAGCCTTTCAAAATTTGCTGAAATTACTTTTGCTGGCATCTTTTCCAATTCAGACAAATCCTACCACACTGCTCCCAAATTTCCAGATAAGACTCATTTTGGTCACAACTTTCTCTTCTGGCTCAGCTTTCTCCTTCCTCCCTTGCCGGTTATTTAAGAGCAAAATAAGTTACGAGGCAATTAAACTGACATCTGTAACGAGGGAAGCTGACAGACTACAAGCTATACATTCACAGACAGCCGTGATCCACAATACCAAAGACGTGTGTGGGAACAAGAGCGGAAAAACATGAACATGACTTTGCAAAAACATAAAATAAAAAAAAGATGGAAGTGTCGTGTACTACACTGATTATATAGGAACATATTCTCAACTCAAACAAAGAGCAAGAACTAAGCCAAGCAGGGAAACTCTGGCTTCCCAACCTGCAGAAATGCAGCCCAGCCGCGGCACGGAGCCGTCGCCCCGAAGCTCCGACCCACAGCAGGAACGGGCAGAGCAGCGCTGCACCAGAATGTACCTGCTCCCTCTCTACGAGAGCAAGGGCAGCAGCACCGGGATGCTCTCTCTCACCTAGCTTTCCGCAGGAAACAGCTCTGCAAGAAACTCTCCGCTGGACACCTCCAGGCTGCTCAAGTCCACTTTGTGCACAACCAAATATTTCTCATTTTTGTCTCCCTGAGATGCAACGATATTATGAGAAAGAACTTTTCTGA